GGCGTGTGTGCTTTGTGTGCTTTGTGTGTGTCCATATACCTGTGCTAATCTCATCAGTCTCATCAACATCAGGGGCAAAACCTCTGAAGAACACACAGTGTCACGCTCCCAAGCACAAAAGAACATTTCAACATCTGCTGTCTGTGTTACCTCTGTAGTAGTACTGTACATGGACACTAGTCACTGTTACCTGCGGTGCTGGTTGTCGTCATGACACAGAACATAACCCGGTTATCTATGATTCTAACATCTGTGTCTTTGCCTCCACATTAACCAGTCCATAATACAACTTCAAATACACCATTTAGACCAGCATCAAAATTAGTAAATCAACTGGAAAATATACTGACAACTAGAGAGAAGTTGATACTTTTTTTGTCACAGGGGGCTGAAGCCAATCCCAGCTGAGACTGGACAGGTCACCAGTCTGTCACAGGGTTGAGATGTAGACAGACAACCACACACACACTCACTCCTACAAGTAATTTAGAATCACCATTCAACCTAAGTTGCATCTCTTTGGACTGTGGGAGGAAGCTGGAGCACCCGGAGAGAACGCACAGGGGAGAACATGCACACTCTAACAGAGAGGCCCCGGGTCGGCCTGGGCTCGAACCCAGAAGCTTTTTGCTGTGAGGCGACAGCACTAACCACTGATTGATTGAGGTAACAACATCTGCACGGGTAATTCTGAACAAGATTTGTTGCTAAACGGTTTGTTCATTCACCACTAGATCGAACACCTGAAACTGAACGCTGCTGACAATCATTAGACCAATTAACTGAACGATAACAACAAAACAGAACAGGAGGTCCACTAAGAGTCCACAGGGTATTTCACTGTGGGGAAGGGTTAGATGTTAGGGATTAGGATTAGGATTAGGTTTGGATTGACATTTGTTGTCTGCCATTTTATGTGAGTGTCCAAATGAGTGTGTAAGTGTATCCCGTACAGAGTGCACTCACAAATTCTGCTCCACTGCTTCATCCCACTGAGCAGTGGGTTTCTGTACTTTGAGATGGATTACAGTTGTGATTTCTGTGGATTATGGAAAAAACACTTAAAAGGGTAAAGTAAAAAAAAAACTAAGCCTTAAAGTCTTAAAATGTCAAACCTTTACGATCCAGATGTTCCAGGCTCCACCCATCCAGCAGCTTCTGGTGTTTTTCCCGGCCACTGCCAAGGTGCACTGAGGAGGAACGTCAGTCTGCAGAGGTAAAACTCTGGCTCTGCTAACACAACAAATATAATATCTAAAATTACTGAAGCAAATGCAAATGATTGTGATCCTTATCAGCTGGCAGGTGTACCGAGGAGGTATCTGCAGTTTCACCACAAAGACATCTCAGGCTAATACAAATAAATATTGCACAACATGTGGAGGCAAACATGTATGAAAACAAGCCTTGTGATTTCATTAGAGGGAGATTCTGAAGCTGAAAGTGCACTGAGATTAGATTTAGTTTGAAGATTGGATTTATCTAGCCTGGAGACAGAGACAGGGAGGTTACCATGCATTACACTACAGCTCAGGGTCAAATTACTTTCCGACTGCCAACTAGGACTTGAATAGTCGAGTCATTAGTCAAGAGTCAGTCAGTTGACTGAGACTCTTCTAGTCCAGCCTTTGTTTTTATTTTATTATATTTTATTTTGTACATTACAATAGAAGGGGAGCCCCAGCCAGGAGTTTGTTGCCTTCTTCTAATTTTGCTGTGCCAAAATGTTTAAATGCTCAGAAATATGTTCCTGTCACTCTTTTGCACTTCAACACTGATGTTAACGTGGTCGAAATCATCACTGACATTCATGCCAGTTGATGTTGCTGGTCTAGGCTATATACATGAAAATGAACGAATAGTCGAATAGTCCCACTGAAGAGCCGACTTGACAAAGTCCGTAGTCGGATGCAGCCCTACATCCTGGTGGTGACAGGCAGAGTTAGTGAATATTATTACTGTGTGAAGTCGAGCTATGGGATTTGGGTTTGTTTGTGCATAAAAAGCAATTCCTTCAGGGAGCATGAGGACAGCGCTCAGCCTCTCATCAGCGTTCTAAAACGTCTGTCCTGTCCAGGTTTACTGTCCAGTTCAGCTGCTGCAGAGGAAGCCACGCTGGTGAGACGCTGGCTTGTTTTCTTTGCAAAGCACCACAAGCACAAATAATGTGTAGAGGAGGCGATGACTAAACCGCTGTCACTCTCATCACACACTTTACCTAAAGGCACGTGGGCAGCCGGGCGACACTGGAAACATGTCACGTCACTGGGCGACCGATGAGGGATGGAGCTACTTCTGATGTGACTGTGTGTGTGCTGATATGTGTGTTTGTGTGTCTTGCAGGCTCATGCACTGACTGGGAAGATGCCAGTGTGATGTGTTTGGCCTCTTTGTTTATGGCCTTTCCTGCCCTCTGATGTGCACGCTGAGCCATGAATGGAGCTTTGTGTGTGGACGCCCCGTCCTCATGATTTGAATGCTGAGTCTCCAAGAAGGAAAGATGAGGGTGATACAGACCCCCCCATGTGTTAAGGCTGGTTGGATACACTCCACCTCAGCTTTAGTTACCAGTTTACAACTTCAAACCTTTACCTAGCAAACACGAGGTTTATTAAATATGATGCTATATTTTAAAGTGCACGGTGTATATTGTACCAGATTCTGTTAGTTTATATTTACTCCACTACATTTCAGTGAAATATTGTACTTTTTACATCGTTACAATCTATTTGAAGGTTTTATAAATTAAGATGTTTGCATAAAAACTGCTAATAAAATTAATTGCGTTGTTATAGATTAAACTTCTTTTGCAGTTTGAGGTGAAATTAGTCGATGAACCAATTGACAAAATTAATTTTGATAATGCTTTAAGTTATTTGTAATGTCGAACATTTCATGGTTCCTGCTTTTGAGGGATGAGGATTTGCTGCTGCTTGAGGTTTAGTGCTCGTTGGCACTTCTTACCTCATGCACATTCAAGCTGCAGATGAGCTGAGGTGACAAATGAAGCCCTCTGCAGCTGCAGGTGTCGCTTCCTCTCAGGGGGGCGTGTCCTCAGGCGACGTCACTGACGTTATATAGGCTGCAGCTGTGGTGGCGGGGTCGCGCTGCTCAGACAGGCAGAGCACCGAGGAACCAGCGGCGCGCGCTCACGGAGTCCCACTCAGCTACACGCTCCTCAGACAAAGAGAAGCACGCGAGGCAGCAGAGCATCCCACCCTTTCAGCCACGAGCTCACTTACAGAACCGCCCCCCCCCCATCCCTCTCGCACAAAACCAGTCCGGTCCGAGGCTCGAGCGCACAGAACCGACAATGACCAGTAACGGCGCGGCGAACGGAACCAGCGACATGCTGCAGATCCAGTTCGGTCTGATCAACTGCGGGAACAAATACCTGACGGCGGAGACCTTCGGCTTCAAAATCAATGCCTCTGCCACGAGCATGAAGAAGAAGCAGATCTGGACCCTGGAGCAGAGCAGCGACGACTCCAGCGGGAACGTCTTCTTTCTCAAGTCACATCTGGGCCGGTACATCGCCGCCGACAAGGATGGGAACGTTACCGGCGACAGTGAGACCCCGGGCCCGGAATGCCGGTTCATCATCACGGCCCATGATGACGGCCGCTGGTCCCTGCAGTCCGAGCCCCACGGGCGCTACCTGGGCGGCACCGAGGACCGGATCATCTGCTTCGCCCAGACCGTGTCTGTAGCAGAGAAATGGAGCGTGCACATCGCTATGCACCCGCAGGTGAACATCTTCAGCCTGACGCGCAAGCGGTACGCGCACCTGAGCGACAAGGTGGACGAGATTGCCATTGACCGGGACGTCCCGTGGGGGGTGGACTCCATGATCACGCTGGTGTTCCGCGAGCAGCGCTACCACCTGCAGACCTCCGACAACCGCTTCCTGAGGAACGACGGCGCGCTGGTCGCCACCACGGACAAGAGCACGGGCTACACGCTGGAGTTCCGCTCCGGTAAGGTGGCGTTCAGGGACTGTAGCGGCAGGTACCTCGCTCCCTCCGGGCCCTCGGGCACCATGAAGTCCGGCAAGAGCCCACGCGTTGGCAAGGACGAGCTGTTCGTGCTGGAGCAGAGCCACCCGCAGGTCGTGCTCACCGCGGCCAACGACAGGAACGTCTCCACCCGGCAAGGTGGGTGTGGTGGTCCGGTCCGCTTTGTGCACGTGTGTGTGTGTGTGTGTGTGTGTGTGTGTGTGTGTCTTCATGCACTGAGAAGATGTGGTCTGTTTGGCCTCTGTGTTTGTCGAGCGGGACCTTTCCTGCCCTCTGATGTGCGTGCGCGTGGTGGTCTGGCGTGTGCACGCTGCAGGGCCTTTTTGTTGGCTTGTATGGTGTGTTGGCAAGGTAAGGGTTAAAATGCAGGAATGTGACACTGTGCCCCCCCCAACCCCCCATCTAAACACAGGATACAGGACACTGATGGCCTGTATCTGTACACACACACACACACACACACACACACACACACACATATGAACACACTGAAGCAGGAAGGAGCCAGTGATTTGCTGAGGAGCCTTAAAATCATCCATCAGATTTTACATCGGCTCTTGTCCGTCGGTGTAACTGCAGGTTAAAGCACAAGCTGTGGGAATTGTACAAACAGGACTGTTAACGAGGAACAGTCCTGTTGACACACGTGCAGCTGCGTGTGCACGTGTGCCATCATTCAAATGTAAAACGGCACTAAACTGGCACAGAGTGAAACAGTTACAGGGTCGTACAGGACGAGTCCTGTTCCATCAATGGATCCAGTATTTGTCCAGTCACTAACGATGAGTTGTGCGACACCACGTGTGGGGAGACCAAGTTTACCCTCTAATCTACACCCAGTCGTCAGTTTATTAGGGACACCTGATCCAACAGTGCTGCAGTAAATCCTCCTGTGTGAAGGTGGTAATGTTCAGACTGAGGTGTTGATTCTCAGACTGGAGTTTGTGCTGACTCGGTTTTAGCTGGGCTGGGTGTACCTAATAGGCTGGGTGTACCTAATAGGCTGGGTGTACCTAATAGGCTGGGTGTACCTAATAGGCTGGGTGTACCTAATAAACTGGGTGTACCTAATAAACTGACAACTGAGTGTACACTGGTGTTCGTATTGGTCAGAACTCCTCTGAAAAGCAACACATCATTGTTGTTTCGGTCACACAGGAGCTGAAACACTGGAGCCATGAGTCTGTCTGAAAGCAGCAGACTGATGAGCTGATCTGTGCACGTGGCTGGTATCCATGATCAGGCTACCGAGCAGCTGTGACCTGCTGCAGGCGAGCACGCTCCTGAGCTGAGTGCCCTCTTTTTGTCAGATTAGATCAGTGTTGGTGTGTGGGAGCCGACTGTGTCCATGTGCTTCTGGTTTGCAGCTGTATGACGGATACGAACATGTGGCTCCGCCTTCTTCTTCCCCCCTCCTCATTTTTTTTCCACTTCCTCACCATCACCTCCTCTTCTCTTTTCTTACCCCTGATTCCTTTTCTAACCTTTCACTGTTTTCCTTCCTGTCCTCCCCCTCCCCCAGGCCGTTATCAGTGGTGTCCCTCTAAGTAGGTGGCACCTTTTATCTCTAAGGCAGTGAAATTAAAATGAGTCTTTGACTTGAATGAAATTTGAGCTCAGAGTGAGTGTGTGTGAATCAGGCCCCGAAAACCTCCGAGTCAGCACTTGCACAACATATCCACTGAGATTTTGGGGTAGAGACGAAGAGAAAAGCAGAGAGACGGTGTCTCTGGCTGCCTGTAATGAATAATATACTAATGGACGCTCTTTAAATCTATACTTGGAGCCTGGTCAGGAGGTGCTAGCTGGCCAGAAAACCATGCGGTTTAGTGGTTTTGCGTCCTGTTTTCAGAGAGCATGATGTATGTTTTCCTCTTCTGTCTCCTGTTCGTCCTCCCGACTTTGTTTACTGTCACTAGGATATTTATACACTTTTCTCTCCACATCTTTCCTCCAAAAGTGGCGTTTGGTCTTGGACACAAAATGGAGGCTAGTGTTCAATGTGGATGCTGAATAAAAAGCACCATGACGTTGTCTGTGATGAGAGCGTGAACTGCAGTTCAACATCCCCGAATGGCAGATTATGCCTTTTTGCTACGGAGAGTGCAGCTCGGCGTTTTAGCTCCAGAACGTGTAGGAATGATGTCAGATCTGTTTGACTTTAGTTCCTTTACCTCACTGTAAAAACCTTAGTTTATAGATTTCCAATGTTCTATATTGGATTTAATATAATGTATAAATTAATAGAAAAATACTTCAGACAAGTCACTAATATTCTCAGGTCATTGCAATTTCAAAAATTTGTTGTTGTGAATCCAAAACGCTGCAAATAAATCTGAAGGAATTCATTATTTGTGACGCTGCCAGACGCGTAACTCCTCGGTGCAGCTTGTCATTCTTCTGTCCACATCCATATACACACAATCATTGGCTTTAGGTTCTAATTTAATAACTGCACCGTGGACTCGAATCAGCCAGTGTTCACCTTCTCCAAGTGTATTTTTATGGAGTTCAGCCACATCTAAATGATTAAGTTCCGGTTTGTAGAGAACCACCAGAAACTATTTTTACAAATGTTCATTGCAGCAGCAGCGTCTCTCTTTCTGCTATTTTCTAATTGTACTGGTTTCCTGCTCATAATGTGCACGCTCCTCATCCCTGGTCACAAATCCCCTGAGACGCTGTTAAATGACCCTCATATGGACGAAGACGCCATCATCGGTCAGTTAGCCCGGAGCTCAGTGGCCCTGTAAGTGCTCTCCTCTGCCCCTCAACGGTGCTCTAAGTGTGAGTGCAGACTAAATGGACGAGAGCTGTGACCGCTGACTGCTCTGCAGACCTCTGGCTGCAGGGCCAGATGACTGATGTGGAGAGACACTTATTTGGAGTGTGATCTCTGTTGGGCTGTTTTGTGTCACATGATGACTCTGATGTTTGGCTGTATCATGTGACTGGCCTCTAGTCTGTTGACTGGAAGTTGAATTAAGACTTGGTATAAATGTATGACGCTCCTATAAAATGTGACACAAAGAAATGGAGTGTACACATGGTGCAACATTAGCATTGTAGCTAAAGTGGCAGTGCTTCGAAGGGTAAAGGCCGTTTCATCACACTTCTCAGGTCCACTCAACAAGCCCCGACTGTGCATGTGAAAATGTTGGTGTATGCACGCAGAAGGCAGAAATGAATGTGTATGTGCCTTTGTTTGCGTCTGCTTAGCTGCGGTGAGGCTCAGACATGATGGCACTGTTGGTATCTCACACAGGAGATGAGGGGAAAAAATAAATGTGAAACTAAACCAGGAAACTCTCATCGGGCGTTTCTTTGTTCTGTGAACTGCACAACACATCTAGCTGGTTTGAATCTGTTATTACCCAGAAGTGATTTGAATGAAGTGGGTGAGTGTTTTGCGGTGCTGTCAGGGGTTTGCATGCTTATGGAAATTATTCAAACACCTGATTGGTTGTTTGGCGGTTTGAGTTATGTATTAGGAGGAAGTGTTCTGCTCTTTTCACAGGAGTCACCTTGAAACCAGTCACAACTTATCACAGGGACAGAAAAATATCACTGACAAAGACACAACACCAGCCCACAGGCCTTGGGAGCTTCAACCATGAGAGGCCGAGGCTGCCTGTCGGGGTCTGTGTGTGTACCCAGCTGTCAGATTATTAGGTACACAAAGCTGAAGCTACTGCAGTAAATGCTCCTCCATGAAGGTGGTGATGTTCAGTTTGTCTTCAAAAGGTTTGAGAGAGGTGCTGTTGTTGAGCCTCACTGATGTAAAGAGGGTCAAAATAAACCCAGATACAGCTCAGCAGCACAAACCACCGGCGACTGTGACAACACAGTCTGCATGTCACCACACACACAGTGTCCGCTCCACCCTCCACGTTCAGCCTGATGGCAGCAGGCACAGACTGCAGCCTTGGTTACCGTGAGCAGCAACACAGCCCTGCTGTGAACGCGTGCAATTGTGTGCACGTCTCCTATTGTTCAGCAGCCCCGAACCAGCTGGGGCACCAAGAGGGAGCCAGATCATCGGCCTTTGTTCTGATCCAAACGCAGCACGGCGGGCCGGCCAGCCCACACCCTGAACGCTGTGCCGACTGAAACATCGCTGCTCACCCAGTGTGCACGTCAGCACTCCCCCTTTAACACAAACTGCTAAAAATGAGGTCAGATGCAGCACTGCGCTTCTGTCAACTGATTTAAAACTCATTTTGTGTTTGTGTAGCAAAAACCGACTGGCGTGCGGTCGGACGGTGGTTTAGAAGGCGTTAATGTACAGACGCACCCACAGCCGAGCCTATAAAAAAATGGACTGCATTAAGGAGGAGAGGTTCCCTGGTGCTCTGTGGTCGGCGTGGGGGAGCTCCCCGGGCTCGCCGCCAACACACAAACACTGAGGGTCTATAAAGGCGTTAAAGGAGCAGCCTGTGATGCAGTAGTCCAGTCTCTCCTCTTTTTGTTTGTGCTGAGGGAGTGTGTGCCGTCACCCCTCACCCTGCGAGGACGAACACGCCAGCCAAGGTCTGCCCTGTGTGTCTCAATGTCTCATTTCCTGCCAGCGGGAGGTGAAGGATACAGAGGGCGTCAGGGCTGAATCGAGGCCAGACACAACATGGAGTCTCCTCCTTTTACCACACACTGCAAACATCTGCTTGGAGCCTGATTGTAACTGTGATCTGAGGGGATGATTGCTTTTCAATGCTGCAAAAAAAGAGAACAGGAAACCGCAGAGTGTTTTATAGAGGGCAGGAAATATGGTTATCAAATGTTTGGTCAGTTTCCTGCTGGTCATAAAATTCAGAGTAGCTGTTAAATGAAGTGGTTCAAAGTTTTGGGAGAGATCAGGACATTTGACTTTTAATTGTCATTTCTAATGTTTGCCTTTTAGACAGTTGTTGTTTTAAGTCGTACTGAGAGAATTCTGTCATTCTGTGTCGGCATCAACTGAGCTCGGACTGTGGCCTTAGTGTGCACAGATTTATATGATCTTAATAATCCGGTTTGTTATAGTGAGACTTGACAACTGAGCAGCAACACCAGCTTTTATCAGTCGTACATTTACTGCCCCTGGTGTGAATATTAGTTTTGTTTAAAGTCTGTGTGGACGTCATTTGATTCCATGCATCCTCTGACCTCCACATTCATAAACTCAGGAGCTGGAACGTTGTAGGTTTATGACAACCTGTAAAATGTGTGTGTTGCAGCTACAGTGGTGGGTGCACTGGGTCTAGACCCGGTGCAGTTTTACAGGGTATGTACTAGGAGATTTCTTGACCAGGAACAGTGAGACTCCTTTGAGTCTTGTCACCGAGTTGCACCAAAACCATTGGTGTTGCTGCCCCAGTCAAGAAATCACCAACGTTTAGTTGGGAAGCTTAAGAAGTGCTGTTAAGGAAAGGTGTCCTGAGGCAACGCGGCTAGGCCTGTTTTCCCCGTTTCCAGTCTTTATGCTAAACTTTCCATGCTGTAGACTTGTGTTCACACAGAATGTGAGGTGAATTTCAGAGCCAATACGAAGACAACAGTGAGTGTGTGGGTAGAACATCAGCCGACAGTTGACTCTCCATCATGGTAATAAACCTGCTGTGCTACTGGGTTGAACAGGAAGCAGCGAGGATTAGGCTGTTACTGAAGATGAGCGGAGTCTTGTCAAACCCTCGTCTGTTACACCTAAAATTGCATTTCATCTTCTCTGAAGCTCTGCACCATAATGGGAGCCACATGGTCAAGTATATTTTCCTTCTCCAGTCATGTGTGCCTTTTGTTTTAGACACAAAACATGAGCAGTAATTCTTGAGCGACTAATACTTTGTAGCAACACAGACTTGTTTGGCCTCTTTGTTAGATTTGATATAAAGTGCATGTTTGGCTTCAGTTGGGCCCAAATTGTGTAATGAGACGCCTGGTGTGAAGGGAACAGGACTCGCCTAGAGCGCTGTCACATCTGACTTTGTGTGTTTAATGCAAGATTTTAGGTCTCCAGCTGATTTAGGGAAAAAAACTGCATCGGCCAGCAGTTAACGCTTCAGACCTGCTGTGAGTTTTGACAAACATGAGGACAGTGTTAGTAACTAGGATCGTCTGAGGGCAGATGTTGTTTCTCTTGAATGCACTGAGCGTGACTGGAGCCAGTTGTAAGACAAGACAAACTGAGAACATGAGATCGGGGGGGGGGGCCGCAAATGAGTGTGTTGGTTTGTTTTCTCAAACACTTCTTTCTTTCTCTCCCTGCACACACTTGCACAGAGCTCCAACAAACCATCAGTCTCTGTCTATCCAGCCCTCTGGCTACAGGTCCATCTACGCCATGACCTCATCGCTCACAATAACATGCATTGTTCAGCATAAACTGTGTGTGGGGGGGGGGTGATCCTGCAGTTGATTCATGTGTTTACCTCTCTGTTGCTCTTAAGTGCCTGAGTGGTATTGATTTTAGTGCACATACAGCAAGGTGTACAGACGTGCACACTAGAACATTCAACTACAGATTTGACCAACAATGCAGAGATGTTCAGTTCTGGATGATGTAAAAGACGGAAAAGTAGCAAATCATCAGCAGCTGCGACCTCAGGATGTCTGGTATTTCTAACAATATGAGCAGCGCGGCTGTGTGAACGACGGGGTCGGTAGGGTGGTGCACGTTGATTCTAACTAAAATGTCAACAGCAATCGAATGAATTGCCATGAAAGGTACGGACATCTGTGAACCCCAATGGCTCTAGAACTACTGTCAAGTGAAACTTTGTCAAATACTTTGGTTTGTCCTGTAAAACTAATACTGCCCCATGGCCTCTGCTTTGCGTTTAGCGCCAACTAGCACGTGTTAGCATGCTGACATGCTAAACTAGGATTAATGTTACAAACATTATACCTGCTAAACCCCAGCATGTTAAAGTCATTATGAGCATGTGAGACTCTCAGCTCCCCACATCAGCCTCAGAGCTGAGTTAATAAAAACACAAAAGGATCAAACTGCTACACAAATTACTGTTGTTCCAAAGTATAGCAAAAAGCTGTAATATGAAAGGCAATAAACTGTGATGCACATCAAATCATTTCATGTAAAATTCCTTTAAAAAAAAAAAAATAAAAATAATGCCCGTAACGTGACCCATCCTGACCCACAATCCTGTACTTTAACCGCCTCCTCCCCTGCTCAGGTATGGACCTGTCAGCCAACCAGGATGAGGAAGGCGACCAGGAGGTGTTCCAGGTGGAGATTTGCAGAGAAAACAGGAAGTGTGCGTTTCGGACTGCAGCTGGGAAGTACTGGACCCTCACTGCAAACGGCGGCCTGCAGTGCACCGCCTCCACCAAGTAAGAATCCCACATGACTATGGTTCACACGACCACACCTGCTCCAGTCCGTCCACTCGCCAACCTCTGAGTCGCAGCCAAGTGTGTGAGTTAAGAACTTGATACGACTCGTCACAGCTGAGGGACTGAGTCTGTAGCCCCCTATGGAAATGTGAGACGTGGCTCGGGCGTGTGGGGGGGGTACATCATGGCTATGCTATGTTGTGGTAGATTAACTTCATTTTGTGTGACCTCAAACTGTAGGGAGGGACTTTCTTTAATCTGCAGTGGTTCTGTTAACCCCTGATCTTTGACCCAGACACTGCTGTTCTGGATAGTTTCCCTGATGAAGAAGTAAAAGCCTAAATTCTTCTTGTCATCCTTGATTTATAAGTGCAGTACTTGGTGCCTTTTTAGTTTGTTAAATTTTGCCTTTGCAAATGCAAACTCGAGTATGGTGCTCAAAAAGCAGATCCGTATGCACAGGAGTGGTACTGAGCTCAACAACCATCTGATCCAGTACCAGTCTAGTGAGAGAAGCATGTGTCCTGAGTTAGGACTCTCATAGCAGCGTCATCGACACTGAGGGGGTTGCACTGCAGAGCCCTCCCCAGGAAGTTCCCCACATTCCTAAGATTTGCTCGGTTCACTTCTCGCAGACAAAACCACAAACATGTTTTCTTTCACCAAGTCCTTTCATGATTTGAGGAAAAGACTTTGCAGAAGCTTCATAGCTTCATTCATAAAAATGATCAAGTTTTGATCCATAAATGTTGGAGCTAGAAAACAAAACCCTACTCTCGGCCAAGTGAAAGGATTTAACAAGCTGCTTCATTCAACTTGACCCAACAGTTAAGCTCCTGATAAAACATCTGGGTTCTAAGCAACAGGAGATGTAAATGTGCATTTCTATCTGCCCATAAACTTAATTGTCCTTCTTACCGCTCATGCCTTCACTTCCTTTCTCTGCAGGTCAGCTAACTGCTACTTCGACATCGAGTGGCGTGGGAAGAGGCTGACTCTCCGGGCCGCCAATGGGAAATATGTTGCCGCCAAAAAGAACGGCCAGCTAGCGGCCACCATCGACTCTGCCGGTCAGTGTGACTTACTGATCCAGCCGTTCAGAGAAATGCATGTAGCTGAGTGATTTACCTTCAGCAGTGACGGGGGTGATGGTGTACAGTAAGAGGAACTGACTGGCTGGGCTTCAGCCGAATGTAGCTGTTTACTCCAAGGGGGTTTAGCTTTGAACGAGCCTTTGTTCTTCTGCAAGGTTTCTAAGCTGATCCTTGGCTGCATGGGGAGAACACACATAAATGTGCAGAGCCACTAAGGTGAAGGCAGCGTTGGCCCAAAAATTAGAACAGCATGGTTCCGACGGGCGTGCAAAGAATGAGAAAACTCAGGATTTGGTTTGGATCATGGATTGGAGCTTTTTTTGGATACACAATACAAACAAAAAAGTCCAAAGTTTCAGTAAAATCTTAAAAAAAAACTGAGTATTCAATACACAATTGTTAAAATAACCTCATCCTAAACCTACCAGGTAGTTTGTGACCCTGAACGTAATGAAACTGCCTGTTTCATTAACCGAAACAGTATGTTTACGACAGCTTTGTATCTTTTCACTCCAACTCTACAGAGAATTATTTAAAAGTAAGAGGCAGTAAAACCATTTCACACTGATTGTTAATCCTTACGACTAACTAAAAAAAATAAAAGCTTCCTTAACAATGCCAGCAAAAAAACAAGAGACTTAACTGTCACGGTCGTTCACTTGTTTACCGTTGCTACACGCTGCAGAGGTTAAGCAAGCATTGGGTTTGTATCTGGATGTTGCTGTTGGTGGATCAAAGCTGAAGTGTCCACATTGTGCTGCGCTGTCCCAGGAGGGAGCTGTTGGCAGCCACAGTCTGCTTTTAGTGCAGATTTCGACACAAGTTGCTTTGCATGCATTTTTTTAAATAAGACGCAAGAAAACCCAGTAGTCGAAGGTCAAATGGCAACAAAATGCAGGTTGCTCTTGCAGAGTAGTATCAGGAGGTGTTGTGTGATTAAATGTATTCAAATCTGGGGGGAATCCGCTGCTGAGGTCTTCATACTGTTCCAGCAAACGATGCATCCTCTGTCTGCAGGTGAGTCTGAGGAGTTCATCATGAAACTGATTAATCGCCCGATCATCGTGCTGCGCGGGGAGCACGGCTTCATCGGCTGCAGGAAGGTGACGGGGACGCTGGACTCCAACCGCTCCTCCTACGACTACTTCACTCTGGAGTTCAGAGACGGGGCCTACAGCCTGCAAGGTCGGTTCACATCCAGCCTCGGTATTTTGCTGATGTTTACTGTGGGACGTAAACGGCAGGCAGGTGTTGCTGGTCAGAACATGTGGCGAGACAACCCGCAGGCATCCAGTGGATTAAATCATTTATACTTTGAGGGGTTCTCATTATGAGCTTAGCCACTCATGGGGTGTTTGTGCCCAGAGGAGGGATTTGAATCCTGTAATGTCACGGCCTTTTGTTCCCTCCTCCATTTTCACCCCTTTTCGACACAATACCTCCATCACCATTCACTTCATTCCCGTATCTCTAATCTGACATTTCTGCCTCCTGCAGACTCGACGGGAAAATACTGGATGGTGGGTAGCGAGCAGTCGGTGGTGAGCAGCAGCGACACACCTGTCGACTTCCTCTTCGAATTCTGCGACTACAACAAGCTGGCCATCCGCCACGCCGCCGATGGCAAGTACTTGCGTGGCGACCACGCCGGCGTGCTGAAGGCCAATGCTGACGACCTGGAGACGGCCACACTCTGGGAGTACTGAGGGAAGTGGGCAGCTGTGGTAACGTGGATGTGGTCGCCTGCTGATGGATGGATGAATGAAGTGTGGTGACGCAGCACTGCCCATCCACAGCCCCTCTCCCCTTCTTTCATTCCCTATATTATATCCTGTACTTTATGTTGATAAACTGCACAGAGAGAACAGGAAGGATAGGAGGAGGAGGGAGACACCTCTCTCTCTCGCCTCCCTTTCCTTCCTTTTATCCTTCCTTCCTCCCTTTTCACAGCTCTGCTCTGCAGTGCCGACCTTTATCTGTTGCCATAGTTACCATGGGGCTACCGTGCACTTTTTCTGCTCCGATCTGGTTTGCTGCTCGACCTGTCACTCACTTCCTCCTCGCCTTACGATTGGGCCTTCCCTCTCCCAGAGCAGAGCGGAGCCACATTTAAAGAGCCCCCTCCTCTGAGTTAACCCCCTCGTCTTTCCATTTGTCTCTATTGTCTGTGTGAGCAGCACATGGTGGCAGTATTTATGGTGTCTGACCTGGTGTGAAGGAGCAGTTTGTGCCTGATCTAGTCTCCAAAAACAAACTCACTCCTGGAACAAATCTACACGTCTGTTAGCTGCATATACAAAGATCAAGGTGGTGGGTTTGTTTTTGTGCAGTTGGGTCGTGCACAAACCGGTTCTCTGCTTCTGTCAGATCAGGCCAGTTAGTTTTCATGTGTAGGCCTCGCTGCCTCTGTGCGACGACTGTGATATAACTGGAGTGCTAATTATGACGATAAAGATACTGAAGCTGATGTGACGGGCTTAAACCCCCCTCTTCATCTCAACTGTAAAATATTAATGTAAAGCAGTCTCTTGTTGTTCTCTTTAGTTGACGGGGAGTCCCAGTCCTTGGACCAAATGGGATGTAGGAAGTTGAAACGCGCTCCGTCCTCGTTTTTCTCTGCCACAAGCCAGAAGTAACTGTCCCGAGAATGTTGGAAGGAAAATTGGTCACTTATGTTTACACATTTGGATTCATTTCTTTTCTATGTCCAAGGCACAGACATTATCATAGGTAGAACTACAGCAAGTAGCAACTAGACTAATTATTTCTAGACCCTTTTGAAAGCTGCTCTTTGAATCGCTCGACCAAACTTAACCCAGAGCCTTTATCTAGACCAAACCTTTGACACTAGACTAACAAACTGTCATCTCACATCATAAAACTGGAACCTGGTGCTACAACATGTTAAACTGGTGTCCCGTCGAGCATCTCGCACACCGTCTGGACCGACGTACTTTCTGCTGCGTCTCTAGCTTTGCCATATAACCGAAAGGGCTGCAAGACTGCCCTCAACATAATCTGCTTTTTCTTTGCTTCAACTTTCTTCCTGAACGTTGAGCCTTTACAGTGACATGACAAAATCCAATTAGTTTTGTTCAGTCTTTCTGTTCCTGATTCCTCGTTGGTAAAGTGAAGGTATGAGTTAAAAAAGTAGAAGCAGAATTTGTTGTAACTGCACCCATGGGTCCTGCCCTCTTGATTCTCTACCCTTCAGGGGACGTTGGGTTTTGTCTGGCTTTACGATACAGCAGATTGTATTCGCACAAGGTCCTGAATCATTGGGCTTTTCCACCCAACAACATTCCTCTGATGGAAACCATCACTGGAAACTGGAATGAAACGGGATTGCAGCCAGCTCCCCAAAAGGTCAGTCGATTCTCTGCTTTTCCAGGAAGGGTTGAGAATCGCGGGTGAATAAAAGGAGCGGTCGGCCTCGCAGGAACCTCCGAGGTAACAAAGACCGAGGCTTCGGCAAACGGATCTGGAAGGGTAAACGTGTGGTAATGACTGTGCCTTACTCTCCAGTTTTTGGGCAGTAGGAAAGTAAAAGGAAAAAAAAAATGAATTGGAGGTCCACATCTTTGCTTTGTATAACTGGAACTTCCTTTTGTATTATTTGGTATAAGTTTTTGTTTTTTTTTGATATTGTGGATTAATCTCTCTCTCGTGCCATTAGTTCACCTGAAATCCAACAACCAATAAAACTGGGATTGGAAATGCTACACGCCTTCGTTTCCTTTTGTCTTTGGTCAGTTTCACGTACACCCTGAAATTCATTCCCTCCATCTTTTCAATAGATAAACAGCTGGCAGTTGAAGTAAACCTGTCGAAACAAACAGTCCTGCAGTTAGTCCTCCTGCATGAAGGTTGTGTCTACTGAACCTGGGCCAGAGCCTCTGTATGACGTGACTTATTTCTTTTGTTTTAAGACTGCAAAATGACCATAGACACTCAAACAACCACAGATGGATGCAAATTGACACAGACTCCCCCAACAAAAAACTACAAAAGAGAAAATGATGAAAGATGACTGTAAACTGACAAAGGACTACATGACCATTTGGGAGACTGTGCTACATTACACTGGGGGTGTAAGAAAATATCAGTACACTTAAGTATTGTGATATTACGCTTTGTGATACTGTATCAGTTCTCAAACTATTTTAATTAATGGTTCACATGCCAAGCTGTGCTATGATGTTGAATGGGACTGTGACAAATGCAGGTCTCTGCTATGACTGCATTAAAAAAGTAAATTATTACAGGAGATTTTATTGACACTGTGGTTTTTTTTTGATTGCTTTTCTAAAAATTTTGTAAAATTACTATATATATATATTGTTTTGTTTACAGCATCACATATATTTAATCATAACTGTATCATGATGCGTTTTGTATCGCCAGGTTCTTGCCAATAGACGGCCCTGAATTACTCAGAGATCATTGTGTTGCTATTATTTTGTCCAGCCCACTTCTATCAGAGGTGTTAGAATAAACGGAATGTCTCTGCAGCAGCACGAACCACTGACACGACCTCTGGGATCTGCTGTGGTCCTGAGATCTGCCAGCGAGTAGCTTGTTTGTGTTTGCACCATGGTTTTGTGCCACTGGTCCCATCTGTGCAGTTCTAGTCAGATTTTGGTATTTGGTCTCCGGCCAGTTCACGACCACAGCAGCTCTGTGCTACCCCACTTACACAAACATGCACGGAGACACACTTCTTCCTGTCTCTTGAATAGAACCTTTGTGTTGAAACATTTATTCTAGTACAACCCCCTCTGAGAAGTCTCTCTCACACACACACACACACACACACACACCATCCAGTGGTAATGTAATGATGGAGCCTCCAGAGCAGGTCTCTAATCTGTTTCCCCCCGTCAGGCTTGCAGATCCCAGAGGAACACCCAACATGGCAAAACAAACACACACCAGCCCTGCAGCTCATCTCTCTCTGCCTTCTTTAACCATCTCCTCCCTCATACCCTTTTTGCATTTTCCACCTCTTCCTTTCCCACTCCTCCTCCTCCTCCTCTGAACAATTTTGCTGAAAAGATGAGTCACTCTAAATATGACCCAGATCCCAGAAATGGGTGCAGTGGTTTGTGGGTAAAGAGTCAGGCTGCTGGCAGAGCTGACTGGCTGGCTCCCAGTGATGAAAGGGGTGGATGGGGGAGGGTGAGAGAGGCCGTGTGCAAAATGGCCACTGTCTCAACCCACATCTGAGTTGCCATGGAAACACCAGCTGAACCAAAAAGGCATGGTCAGGGCCACAAATGTCAAAAACCTCCCTCATATCCAAAATGCAGGATAATTGAGGCCTGATAAAGGCTTTCATGGGTGGGTTGGGGAGGGTGGGGGTTCAAAGACCTTCGGGGAGCTTTGGGTTACTGGAGGAGGGGGAGGAAGGGGGAGTCTGGCTTTGATCAGTAAAGCTCATCGCTGAGGAAACAGCACAAGC